TTTTTAAGGGTGTGGAAACCTTCCCCTAGCAGATGCGTTTTTAAAACCTTGAGGGTAAGCCTGAACGGGAAAGTCGAAAGAGGACAATATCTGCTAGTGGTGGGCTTGGACTGTTACAAATGGTATCAGAACCGGACACTGGACGGTGTGCCAGCGAGGACGCTGGCCCCGAAGGGAGGTGGACTGTGAGATCCCACATCGATTGGAGAGAGGAGCGAGTGCCAGCGAGGACATTGGGCCCCGAAAGTGGGTGGGTTGTGAGATCCCGCATCGGTTGGGGAGGAGAATGAAACATTCTTTATAAGGGTGTGGAAACCTTCCCATAGCAGACGCCTTTTAAAAACCTTGAGGGTAAGCTCGAAAGGAAAAGCCCAAAGAGGACAATATCTACTAGCTGTGGGCTTGGGTTTGTGCCATTACATAATATTTTCATCAAGTTACTACTGTTTAAGAGATTTTTCTCTGTATTTATACGAATCATGAATTTAGCTTGTAGAGGACAATATAGATGAACAAATACCAAGGAGAGACGCTACTCACTCGAATACAGAGAACATGGAGACCGAGTTTGTCGATTTTTCCCATTATGAGGTATTGAAAGACAATCCCTTTCAGCACTCAAAAGCGCTCCATGTACATCAGAAAGATGGACTGCAGTTAATTCTATATACTATCTAGAAAACCTCATATACTATGTTTTTGTGAGATCCCACGTTGGTTGGGGAGAATGAAATACCCTTTATAAGGGTGTGGAAACTTCTTCCTAGCAGACGTGTTTTAAAAGTCTTGAGGGGAATCACAAAGAGGACAATATCTGCTAGCAGTGGGCTTGAGCCGTTACAAATGGTATCAAAGCCAGACACTGGGCGATGTGCCAACGAGAAGGCTGAGCCCCGAAGGGGGGTAGACACGAGGCGGTATGCCAACAAGGACGTCGGACCTCGAATCCACCCCCATATTGATTGGAGAAGGGAATGAGTGTCAGCAAGGACATTGGGCCCTGAAGAGGGGTGGATTGTGAGATCCCACATTGGTTGGGGGGAGAACAAAACACCCTTTACGAGGGTGTGGAAACCTCTCCCTAGCAGACGCGTTTTAAAAGCCTTGAGGGGAAACCCGAAAGGGAAAGCCCAAAGAGGACAATATCTGCTAGCGGTGGGCTTGAGCCGTTACAAATGGTATAAGAGCTGGACACCGGGCAATGTACCAACGAAAAGGCTGAGCCTCGAATGGAGGTGAACACAAGGCGGTGTGCCAACAAGAATGCTGGACCCCAAAGGGGGGTGGATTTGGGAGGTCCCACATCAATTGGAGGGAACAAGTGTCAGCGAGTACGCTGGGCCACGAAGAGGGGTGGATTGTGAGATCCCACATTCGTAAGGGTGTGGAAACCTCTCCCTAGCAGACGCGTTTTAAAAGCCTTGAGGGGAAACCCGAAAGGGAAAGTCCAAAGAGGACGATATCTGCTAGCGGTGGGCTTGGGCCGTTACAGTTTCTCATCTCCCGGACACTTTTTTCCTTGGAAAATTGTCTCTTCACAGTGATTTGGTGTCTATTAATTCATTGCATTTTCCAGTGTGATGTTTCAAGAAAAGTTAGGAGTACAAGGAGGATTGACATACCAGTTAGTGAACACATATATGGTGGAATGACGAAGGCTGAGCTCTCAAAAGCCCAACAAAGAGAGCTCCAATTGGCTCAACAGGACAAGAACATGGAACAAGCCAAAAATGAGAAGAACGCTTTGGAGTCATATGTCTATGAGATGAGGAATAAGGTAAATATTCTTCCTTTTCCGATGCCAATGGTACGTTTCGATTTGAGTAATGCGAAAAAGAAAAAAAAAACGTTATCAAAAGCTTACTTTACATCTATATCTTCGGTCTAGTTTCGTTGGATGTATGAACCAAACATAGAACTCGATCTTTTATCGCTACTGCTATAAATTGTTTTGGATACTCGGGGAGCGGCTATATGAATATCAGTTGCTGCCACACCACTTTTTAGCTCAAATTATTGATCTCCGTTGTGCGAGCTTGAAGCATCGTTTCGTTTCAAGAAGTTTAAGCTATCGTGTGACTTCAAATTTGTAAAACTTTCTGATACGAAATAGGGTGTCTTATTTCAACACTATAAATAGTCGTTCATGTTGTTACTTTAGTACGAAGATTTTGGATATTATAATGAAAGTTTCATATTATGTTTCTTAAGTCATGAGCTTGTTCGTTTGCATTTCTTGTGTTTAGATTTGTATGTTAGAGTCATTCAGTAGTTTTGATCAAACTATCTTGTAGAGTGATTCGAATCACGAGTTTAGATACAAGTTTTTTTACCCTTGATCTTGATCATCAAGATAGTCCGTTCCAAAACTTTCCCTTGAGTTGATTCCTTGTCGTTTTTTTGGGTTCTTGGATAATTTAGATTAAACGTCTTGTACTTCAACAAGGTTGTTCGATCAAATCCTAAGAGTTCCATAACACTTTCCCTTTGAACAACTTTCGACTTTTTAAATGTTCACCGTATCTTGAGGTAGACTTTTATTCTCATGCATACTGTGAATAATATTTATCTTGTATTACGAAAATAATGATGATGTTTGAAAGTGATTTGTTAATAGCTTTTCAACACGTATCGGAGTTTCGCTAGTGATCAAGAACGAGAAGGAATCTTCTCAAGTCTCCAGCAAACCGAGGAGTGGCTATACGAGGATGGAGACGATGAGACAGAGAGTGCTTATGCTTCTAAGTTAGACGACCTTAAGAAGGTAGTTTCTTATACTTAATATAAGTTATGTAACAGCTCAAGCCTATCGCTAGCAGATATTGTCTTCTTTGGGTTTTTCTTTTTGGGCTTCTCCTCAAGGTTTTTAAAACGCGTCTACTAGGGAGAGGTTTCCACACTTTTATAAAGAAGGTTTCGTTCTCTTCCCTAACCGATGTGGGCTTGGGCTGTTACAAGTTATATATCACATTTTCTGAACCGAATGTCTTTACAAGTTCTCTTCTCCTTGCTTACTCTACTCTTTCATTGTTCTTAGTTGGTGGATCCTGTAATTAACCGATACGAAGACGAAGAAGCTAGAGCCCAAGCTAAAAAGCATCTGTTAAAGCGTATTTCCTATGGGGATTCAATTTCTCCTCAAATTCGAGCTTCGGTACCGACAAATGACCTCTACCATTACTACAGTTGGTTTTGTTTGAATTCTCTCACTAATGAACTCCACTTTTCTCCAGATCCTTGAGGAGTGTGACAGAGCAGAGCAATGGCTAACAGAGACAAGCCAACAGCAAGAGTTGTTACCAAAAAACACTGACCCTTTACTATGGTCAAGCGAGATCAGAACTCGAGAAGACGATTTTGACAAGTACGATGCTTCTCTGTTTGATTCGTTGAAATATAAAAGGTTTCTGTAAGACTAGGCTAAGTGAAACTAATCGGAATGGTCGTTTAGAACATTGATTTAAGCTACACGATCTTTCTGCTTATCGAACCCGAAATTCAGTTCTATATATATTTCAAATAAGCATGCTTGGTATCTGCAGCCTTTTTGGCTTACTACCATTTTGCTTAAACTGCATTTCAGGACATGCCAAAGGATCTTGGGACAACCTGTGTCTTCTCATACACATTCAGGAGATTCAGAGGAACCAAACCATCACAATTCTACTGATAATCACTCTTAAAAGGCAACATTAGTTTCTCTTTTAGATTAATCAAAGGTTATGATCATATCAAGAACGAAGATGAGGTGAAAGAGTAGTGCCACTGCAGGTGATGACAGGTTCAAGTACATTGACCAATCACCCATGTTGTCTTCTGATATGTATCATTCTAATGAGGGCTGTCTCTCAATTTTGCAACTATTTGAAGGCAACCCTTGTTGAATTATTGCGTTTCTATTCATTGTCTGTTTTGAGATTTCTTATCATATGTGATCTGACATGTATATATATACATTCCATGGTTATCATGGATTACACAGGAAAAGAGGATGGTTTCAGCTTCATCTTCCAGACATAAAGAGTTTGATCCATAGGTTAAGAGTTGAATAGCGTGGTCATGTGATGTCCCACATTGGTTAGGGAGGAGAACAAAACATGTTTTATAAGGGTGTGAAAACGTTCCCCAAACAGATGCATTTTCAAGCCTTGAGGGGAAGCTCAAAGAGGACAATATCTGCTAGCGGTAGATCTGAGTCGTTACAAATGATATCAAAACCAGACACCGAACTATGTGCTAGCAAGGAGACTGTTCCCCAAAGGAGTAAACACGAATTGGTGTGCCAATAAGGATGCTGACCTCAAAGGGAGGTGGATTTGGTAGGGTCCCACATTGATTGGAGAAAAGAATAAGCCCCAAAAGGAGGTGGATTTGGTGAGGTCCCACATTGATTGGAGAAAGGAAAGAGTGTCAACGGACACTGGGCTCCAAAGGAGGTGGATTGTGATGTCCCACATTAGTTGGGGAGAAGAACAAAATACTCTTTATAAAAGTGTAGAAACCTTCCCCTCGCAGACATATTTTAAAGCCTTACGGTGAAATCTAAAGAGGACAATATCTGCTGGTGGGTCATTGCAGGTCAAAGTTTTGAATTCGAAAATCCAGGATTTGAATCGATGGCCGTTCATTAATTAAGTCCTCCTAAATTGCAGATTGGGACATTTTTTGAAGGCAAATTCATCGTTAGCCCTATTGCACCTAACCACGAAAGTCTCCCAAACCTGTCAATTTTTGTAGGACATTAAACATGAATGTAAGTTGAAATCTAGATCTTATATCTTCGTGATTCTCGATCTAATCTCTAGGCAAGAAAACTGATGCACATAAGAAAACATGAACGTAAGTTGTAATCTAGATCTTACATCTTCACGATTCTCGGTTTGACCCTTGAGCAAGAAACGGATGCAGATAAGAAAAAAGAATTCAAAACCAGTATTACAGTTATTATATACCTCTTCCTCTCGTGCAAGAAGTCAAACCTGTCGAATGAAGATTCAAGATGATAAAAGAATGCTGAAGAATAGTAACTTCATCATGTTAATCATATAACATTTAGTGTCTGTACACTGGGGCATAGTGGACTGGAGAAAATTGTCTGGCTCGGCTATCAGTCAGAATTCAAAGCCTAAATTCCTAAATTCAACGGTTTGGTTTGGTACATTGAAGAAGCATAATGTTGAAAGAATCAAGAAAACAATCTGCTATGTTCTCTGGAAGATTGGTTGGCTTAAAACTAGACAAAGTTGTTACATGTATAAGAAACAGCTAACGGTAATTGTAACGAAGAAATACAACTTTTTAAGCGCTTAAAAACACTTAGAAAGTCATCCAAACAGGCCAAAAATAAGATGGCAGTGTAACTAACATTTGGATCCCGTGCAGTTTTGCCTCCCGTGCGCGGTATCGTTTTAAGTTTTCTTCTTCTTGCCTGTTCCTTTCTTTTTTGACTTCCTAAAGCCTCCAGTATCCTATAGGCAACAATAGAAGCGTTGAATGTGTAATAAAAACGTAAAAGAGGCTTAAGAAAAGCCAAAGCTAAAGCCAAGGGAATATGATTTGGATTTACCTTTTTGTACAATCTATATGCCGTTCGGCCGGTCAACTCCTCCCCACTTTTAGTGACGTATACCTGGAAAGCGGTAATAGCCTATTAAAATCGACCACAGCAAACTAAGCAAAGTAATAAATAATATGGCTATAAGAATTATTTTTCAAGTTGTAATGTCAATGAGCGAAAATGTAACAAAAAGAAAAGGAAGGTAGTATAAATAACAAGATAATAGTCAGTATCTTTTGGAAGAGCTATCGAAGAAAATTTTAGGGAATTCCACTTTGAGAATAATTTCTGCAGCATACTGAACCTATTTTCTTATTGTCATGAACATTCGAGAAATTATTGACATTGACTATGCAGCGAAAATATTGAACCATACCTTCTTCCCTTCTGGGGATGTATACCAGTGACCAGCTGATTGCCCACCTGCATGGACCCTTCGTTTCCCAGCATCTCTAGGAAGACTAAGAGAGCCCTTTGGATCAATCCAGTTTCCGGAATTCTGTAAGAGTTCTTCACGGTTTGATGCCCCTGGTTTCCTTCTAACATTTCTTGAACTGCTACCAATTTTATTTTTTTGAGATGCTGATCTTTTGGGTGTTTTTTTACTGCTTAACGGTGATACAGCTTTCTCATTGGCCCAACATTTGGAGGCATTGTTCTTAGATCTTTTAGATATATTTGTTGATCTTTTTGAACTTTTCTCCATGTTAACCTGTGATGGTCGGCTAGTAGAAGCCTCTCCGTTGCTAAACTGTCTCCTGTCAATGCAGCAGTAAAACATGTTATGTTAAAGGACAGAAAGAAAAGTGGGCAAATTTGTTTAAATGGGAAGGAATAATTGAAAATAATAGAAAGAAGAGTTACTAACACATAATCAATCATTGATCCTCTGCTTCCATCAACTCCCAATGGGGAAAAGTTCGGTAAGCGATTACGAACTAATCTCTGAATTCTTGGGTCATTATGAAAAAAATAGTAATGAGCAGGGCAGCCAAGCTTATCCACCAGTTCGTTTGAGTAGCCACTATTGGTAGTATGATTATCCATGCAGCTTATATGGGCACTACTTCCAAGTTCTGTAGTTGCTTTATTATCCTTCTTTAACTGCGAAAATTCTTTACAGACCTCATCAAAGGCTGGAGTTGGCAAATGAAAATTTTTAGTTTGACAAAAATCTTTCCATAGATCCTCTTTTTGAGTAATACTCGCTGTCAAACTTTTCTTTTTCTCATCCACTGTTGCAGAGAGACCAAATGTAGACTTTGGCTTGTTTAAAGATGAAGAAACTTCATACCCTTTTCTGCTTTGCTTGTCACAGCTAGAAGGCTCATCTGAATCAGAATCAAGTAACTGGAACTTTCGAAGAGGACTGATGGTTAAATTAGAAAACAAGGACTTATTTTTCTCTTCCAAACCAACAGAAGTTGAGGCATCTGCAGTCTGTTTATCTTTCTTTTCCTTCAGCTGGCTGGAAGTGGGAACAGTAAAGATCCCATGTAAAGGGACCTTTGAACTGTTGCAGACAGATTGATGGAGTGACGAAACTGAGATACATGTGAACATTGTGTTAATTTCAGAAAGTAAAACCCTCAGTTAGCCACTTTAAAGAAAGAGTAAAAAGTTAGCTCTATAATCATACAAGTAAAGGGCCATTATTTATAATCAAGGAGTCATCTGATATGTGTTATTTTGACAACTCTATAGGGATTCATTTAATCATCTACGTTGCAATCATCAGAAAATTATATCTACGGTTAACCGATATAACAAAGCTCTTCCAGTTTATTTGTGTCTAAGATCAAAATGCTGTAATAACATACTAACCAGCCGAGATAACAGTACCATACAAACGTGGTTAAATATTAGTGATGGCTCAATTGGTCAACTCTTGTGAATTGAATGTTTCTTTTGTATCGTGGTATCCAAGTCGTCTTAAGTATGCATAACTAATCTCATGGGATAATCACTTGACCTTGACATTTAGTTAGAAGATCATAAAATTTAGGTATGTGCCCCTTGAACCATAACCCGAAGGTCAATTTAATTTTCAACCTGTCCTTGAACACTTCTCTAGATTTAATGTTTCCATTCCATTCTACTCCATCATTTCTCCTAAAATGATAATAATAATAATTCATTCCATCAACAATTCATATTCTTTAGAAACAAAGCATGAAGATGGGATCTTTGAGAAGATTAGATCAGGTAATACAGCATGTTTTTATATCTTTATCTCTTTCGGCAGCAATTCTCAAACAATTTGCATACAAAGAAAACAATAAACATTAAAATCTTTGCACAATAGATACATATATCATGAATCTTCAAGCTTACTTGCGACTAGTTTCAGAAAACACACTTCTTACTCCACTACATGTTACCAAGAAAACTCATAAGATATGCATGTTAGATGAACACGGCTCTCCAAAATGGTATGATATTGTCCACTTTGAGCATAAGCTCTTATGGCTTTGCTTTGAGCTTCCCCAAAAGGCTTCACACCAATGGAGAGAGTATTCTTTGTTTATAAACCCATGATCATTCCCTAAATTAGCTGAGGTGAGACTTTCATCATCCAACAACCCAGATATTAAATTCTGGGCAAGTGACAGAATCTCAATGTAAACAGATTATTGAACCAAAAATACTTCAAACTGGAAGAAAGTATGCACAATAATCGCATGATGCAAATAAAACGATCCGAAATTTCCAATAGCATGTGATCAAATACCAATAGCCAATGCCCTGCGCCTAAGATGACGACTATTATGTCCTAAACCATTGAACACTTCAATCGAAGCTTCGTTTATACTCTGGAAAAAATAGAAGAAAAAAGAAGGAAAACAAACTCAATGTGTGAAAGAGCTATTACCTCTGGGAGAATCTTCTTGTGATGAAAACTCTTCAATGTCATCATCAACTACAGAAAACAAAGGTGATGATTCGCTTTTCTTGGCTCCCGAAGAACATCGAGCTGGCCCACGCTTGAGCCGCTTAAATTTTCTAGGCGAATCATGTCCAGTTTCTTCACTGCAATCCGCAACCCCTGTCTCCACCGCTCCACAATCGTCCTCTTTCGACGAAGCATTGGCTCCCGCCGAACAGTCCGAAGCTGGTGGCGGAATTTGAGGCTCCGAATCGAAATCTAAATCAAGGCCGAGAGAGAACGAGGGAGCTTCATAGAACGCCATAAGATTGCACAATAGAAAATAGAATGATCCGGTAAGGTTAATTCCAAACAAGAAAACAATCAAATGCAGCAAAAGACCAAGCAATCAGTACAAAAAGAATCAGTTCTGGATCTACATCAGATAGCAATCAACAGTAACGTGAAAATTAACTCGCTCAAGCTTGCCGAGGACGAGAGAAAAACGCATATAGATGCGATAATTGAGACGAATTTCAAAAACCAAAAAGAAAGAGAAGATTTAGCGGGAGTCGAAATTTTCTCTGAAATTTTTAGCGCCTGAATCATTCAGAGGGAAAGGGAATTTTGATTGTGGGAGAGAGATAGATGGAATGGGATGGGTTCGGTTTGCGGATAATATGGGCCGAGTCTTGTTGGGCTTAAACCTTTTCATTTGGGCTGGGCTGTTTCTTTTGGGCTTCTTAAGCCTTTTCACTTTGGGCTGGGCTGGGTCTTAATGGGCTTAAACCATTTCACTTGAGCTGGGCTTCTTAGCCCGGTCAATATCGACACTCTTGGCACACTTGTGATGCCTTTTGTTCAACCCTCGGGTTCATTGTTTTGATTGTCTTGTTCGACTAGATACACAGAGCGTGGCTCTTAATCATCTGTCACAGTCATACTTTTTTAACCGTAGGACGGCGTGATCTTGACACGCTTCTGACCAACCTTAAGAGAAATTCAAGCCACGTTTATATTTTCACCTTGCTTTGTGGTTTTGTCGGACCTTAGGTGAGGTTTATCTTCATCAACCGAACATCGCTTGTGCAGAATTCGAACTTATTAAAAAAATTCATATTCTACGTTTTTTCAACTATAAATTTTTTCGTTTAGAAAAGTTGATTATAAACCTATACCTAGACATAGGTGAATAAGTAGTTTGGTGGTATTGACAATGTAAAAACTACCGTGTTAGCATTGGTGAGGACAATTAACTTCGACTTGAACGTTAGTGTTGGCTAGCTGACGACAACAAAAACATATGGACCATTACGATGGGCACTAGACTATGAACGTAGCTGTCTTGAAGGTCGGTGCTAACCAACTATAGCCTTCGACGTTCGAGTGAGTTGAGCAATAGGGAGACACAGAAAGAGACTTCTCAAGTGAGGTGAGAGAGAAAGGGAACAAACCCTAACGTACATATACACATAAGTTGGTGGAATGATTGACTTCCTCCTTGTACCAGGACGGGGCTTAGTTAAGCAGAACCGATTAGCAAATAGGGGAATGGTTGCCCGGGTTTCTCGGCCTGGTATCCTACACCTCACATTCATAATATCTACATTCAACGTGCCCCCGGAGACACAATCAAAGCACGCCCAGTGTGCATATAAGACTTGACTCAATTGAACCAAAATGAAATTTTACGAACCCATAAATGAAACTAAACCCGTCAATTCTTAAAACTATTAAGGGTTGTCGGATTGAGCGGCTTGAATATTTAGGGTTGTCGGATCTTTCTTTTAATAACGACATGTTAAGTGGCATAATAATAAGAGTAACTATTATAATAACGTCACTGACCGTGAAATATTATGAATAAAATAAAGTCAACGTAATGGTTTAACCGTAATAAATATTACGACTTTGATAGTATATTAATTAATTCAAAATTAAATGTTGCTTTAAATTTTAAATCCATCCTATATTATTTATACACATAAAATTTAGAAAAATAATAATATTATTATTATTATTTATAGACCATGTCATCATTAGACAAAATCAACTACGCATTGATTGAGATTGAGAAAAAATGCATGCGCCGTTATCTTTACAATAATCTATTCCCAAAGTTAAACTTTATATTAATCATTTAATTAAACATTAAAGCCTCACCTTATTATATCTAATTCTTTACTCTATTATCTTTTTTTTTTAAAATTATTTTCTTTCCATTTTTGTCAAAAATATATATATATATATATATTATTATTTTCCAATTATTACAATCAATTTCCACGAATTATTTATTTATTGCGTGGATCTTATGTTAGGTAAGGGTAGAGGTACCTCGATAACTCGATAAACGAAATTTAACTTAGAGAATGATCGTCGGTTTATAATCAAGGAATACTCTCTCCCTTGGTATGAGACCTTTTGGGGAAATCCAAAGCAAAGTCATGAGAGTTTATGCTCAAAGTGAACAATATCATACCATCGTGGAGAGTCGTGTTCTTGTAACATGGAATTAGAGCTATGCCCTAAACTTAGTCGTGTCAATAGATTGGTAAATCCTCAAATATCAAACAGAGGACTCCAAAAAGAAAAATGAGTCAACCCTCCTCGAAGGCATAGTAAAAAATGACTATGACTCTAAAGGAGTCGAGCCTCGATTAAAGGGAGACGTGAAAGTCCCACCTCGGCTAATTTAGGGAAGGATCATGAGTTTATAATAAATAAAAAAAACCATCCAACCCACCCCTACTAAAATATTTAACCTTTGCTTTAGGCTTACCCAAAAGACTTCATGTCAATGGAGATAGTATTATTTAGTTATAAACCCATGATCATTCTCTAAATTATCACGATCCGACGTGAGACTTTCATCCGATAGAACCCAGCAAACCAACTCACCCGACCCCAAAAACAAAAGAAAATTATCCGATGTGGGACTTTCATCCAATAGAACCCAGCAAACCAACGCACCCGACCCCAAAAATAAAAGAATTGGGGTTGGGTCGAGTTATCTAACCTAAAAATAAAAAAGTTTGGTGGGTTAGGTTGAGTTGTGAACCCTAGTCAAATGGTTCGAGTCACCAATTCAACCAACGTGAATTTTTGAATTAGGGTAAAAAATTTATATGCTATTAATTTTCACAATAATTTGTATTTTAATTTTTAAAAAATAAAATTTTAAATATTATTTTATTTATTTAAAATCAAACAAAAAAAATTCTAAATATTTAGTAATTATTTAATTTAATTTAATTTTTTAAATTTGGAGTTCAAATTTTATATAAAAGTTATTACTAAACCGAGTAGAAAAATATGGGTAACTAAGTGTATTATATTTAATATACATAATTTATAATCTGCACAAAATGTACAATTTAATTACCTAAACTTCCTCACCCACGGCGGACGCTCCAACTCCGGCCACCCCTCTTCCGTCCGACTCTCACACAAAGAAAAAAAAACGAACAAAACAGAAAATCGCCGCCGCCGCCGCCGCCGCAAATCAATCAACTTCCGGTATACTCTGCAACACCGGCCGCCAGTGACGGTGGCGAGATTCGTGAAACTGATCGCCGACGCCGATCAACTGAGCCAGAACCTGCTGTACGGACATCTCCTTAATATCCACTTTCCCCAAAAGCTCCTCCAGCTGTCTCTTCGTGATCTTAATCTTCACCTCTGTCGCCGCCGTTGAACTCTTTTTCTTCTCGATTTCGCCGAGAAGCCCTTCCCGGCCGTCGTCCTCCGCCGCGAGGAAGTCCCACTCCTCGCCGGCCCACTGCGCCGCCGCGCCATCCCGCCGCAAACAGTTGCCCATAAGAAATTTTTAATTTGGATGAAATGAAAATGAAACGAAATTAAGAATTTGGGAATTTGGGGAATATGAAATTTCGGTATATATAAAGGGGGGTGTGGTGGAGGGGATTGGGGTGCCACGTAGGATTGAAGAATATAGGACACGTGGCGGAGGTTGACCGAGAAAGGGACGGGTCGGTTTCAAAGTTGTAAAATCAAAGCAATTCTCACTGGTTGCAGGCGGTGACTGACGGCCGCCATGATACTTACTTCTACCCACTGGCTTCTCCCATCATCATACATGTTCCTTGTAACGTGCGCCACGCTCACGCCTCGGCTTCCATTAGCCGATCTTTATTTTCCGTATTTATTTTTTCGTCCTTAAATCTTTTAATTAGTGGTTAATAAAATAATAATTCAATTAATTTTCTGATTTTAATTTTTTTTAAAAAAAAATTAAGAGTATAAATGAATTTTTCTTTAGAAAAAAAACTTATTAACTCACACATGTAATAAAATAAAATTTAAAAATTTAATAAGAAAAAATATATTTTTAGACAAATTAATACATAAATTTTTCTGGTCCCTTCAGATCTCACATCAGTTGGACAAGAAAATAAAACATTCTCTGGAACGGTGTGGAAACCTCACTCTAGCATAGGCGTTTTAAAAACTTTGAGAAGAAACCCAGAAGGAAAAGCCTAAAAAAAACAATATCTGCTAGCGGTGGCTAATTATCAGAGCCAAACACCGGGCGAGGAAGCTGAGTCCCGAAGAGGGTGAACACGAGGCGGTATGTCAGCAAAAACGCTAGGTCTCGAAGTGGGTGGATAGGGGGGCCCACATCGATTGGAGAAGAAAATGAGTATTAGCGAGAATGTTGGGCCTCGAAGAGGGGTGACAACAAAACATTATTTATAAGGGTGTGGAAATCTCTCTCTAGCATAGCGTTTTAAAAACTTTGAGGAGAAGCCCAAAAGAGAAAGTCCATAAAGAACAATATCTACTAGCGGTGACTCATTATCAGAGCCAGACACCGGGCGAGGAGGCTGAGCCCCGAAGAGGAGTGGACACGAGGCAGTGTGTCAACAAAAACGCTAGGTCTCAAAGTGGGTGGATGGGGGGAGGCCACATCGATTGGAGAAAGAAACAAGTATTAGCTAGAATGTTGGGCCCAAAGAAGGGTGAGAATGTAACATTATTTATAAGGGTGTGGAAATCTCTCTCTACCACAGACATTTTGAAAACTTTGAGGAGAAATGCAGAAGGGAAACCCAAAAAAAAAAACAATATCTACCAGCGGTGGCACAGTAGTAGAGCCCGACATCGGACGAGGAGGCTGAGCCCCAAAGAGGGGTGGACACGGTTTGCCAGCAAGAACGCTAGGTCCTGAAGTGGGTGGATGGGGGGCCCACATCGATTAGAGAAGGAAACTAGTGTTAGCGAGAATGCTAGGCCCCGGGAGAGGGGTGAACTGTGAGATCTCACCTCTGATATATTTAAATTGATATATTTTTAAGAATAATAAACAAAAATGAGGAGAAGCCGGCTGAAGCAAGGAAGGGACTAGTTAAGCCGAGCCAACCAAATAAAAGAAAATTCCACATTTTCATAAAAAAAAAATATATATATATATAATAATTAAAATAATAATAAAAGCAATGTGAAAAGGGCGAAACGTGGAATCTTAGCGTCTAATCCTCAGTGTGAACGCATTTTTAGGAGCAGAATCTTAACGTAAATTATTTTTTATTTTTTAAATAATTAAAATGTTTTTATTATTTTTAAATATTGGTTAGGTGTGAACGCGTGGTTGGAAAAGGAATCGGGTTTCTGTTATTCCATTTTTGTCGTGTTGTTGGGCATCCTCACGTGACTTCCGCGTGCCTTCCTCCCTCCAAAATTACGTACTCAATTTTAATTACTAATAATTATTTTAATCATAAACCTTATCCACTTTTAATTTCATCTTTTTTCTTGTATTTCTTATTTTATTTTCTCTTTTTCATAATTATTATTATATTAAATTTATTCTTAATTTTGATCTAAATTAATTAAATAATAATATTTTTCTCGACCTCAACCGAAAGACGAATTTAACCTTTATCGGTCGTTTTTAATCTTCTAAAGAAACGTACGAACATCGATTCCTAAATTTTGAAGCTTTTCGTACCCATAATTTTCACGTCAATTTTAAATTAATTAAAAAATAATAATAATAAAAATAAAGAAATAAGTGAAGTGCGAAGGGTATCTCCCTGTGTTTCCACTTGCCCTCCACTTTGTTAATTGTGGGCGTGGAGCCATTGTGTCGCCTTTGTGGATGAATGGCCCCTCCTTTTCCTCCATCTCTTCTTCTTGGCTAAGAAATAGCTCGATCCATTTAACCCAAATTAACACGAACGGTTTGGAGATGTAACGACCTAGATCCACCACTAGCAGATATTGTCCTCTTTAGGCTTTTTCTTTCGGGTTTCTCTTGAGACTTTAAAACGCGTCTGCTAGGGAAAGGTTTCCACACCCTTGTGAAGGGAGTTTTGTTCTCCTCCCCGACCAATGTAGAACATCACAATCCACCCCCCTCGGAGGCCCAGCGTCATCGCTGGCACTCGTTCCTTCCTCCAATCGATGTGGGACCCCATCAAATCAACCCCTCTTTAGGGCCAGCGTTCTTACTAGCACACCGCCTCATGTCTACCCCCTTCAGGGAACAGCGAGAAGGCTAGCACATCGTCCAGTGTCTAGCTCTGATACCATTTGTAACGACCCAGATCCACCCCTAGCAGATATTGTCTTTTTGGGCACTAACAGTAACGACCCAAAATTTTCTATCTTATATCCACCCCTCTAGCTCTAAATGTTTGATATTTGAATTTTACGAGATTTTAGTTATTAATGTAACATGTGCTATGAATAAGTATATTTATTTTAAATAATTAAAAAATAATAATCCGACAGCTCAACTCAACTTGAAAATAAATGGTTAAGTTATGAACTCTATTCGAGTTGTTTGGGTGACCAACCCGACCCGTACGTACCCGAAAACTAAATGTGTAATTTTTTTTTTTTTTAGTTTTAATAAACCCTCCTTTAATTAAATTGCCAAGTAAACAAAATTATATAAAATATTGGCTTGACAGAGTTGACTTTAAGAAAAAGTCAAAATCCAAGCCAAATCTCGAAGAACCATTTCTTCACATCAAGTGGACAAACAACTTTGTCAAATAGCTTGAGATATTTCAAACACAATCCCATTAAGTTGGAATGTAATAAAGAAATTTAAACCACAATATATAATAATAATTAAATATTATTATGGAAATTAATGCAATAATGTATAATAATTATTAGTTTAATTTCAATGTTTGATTATTGTAAGCATTTGATAGCGATATTTCTAAGTTTGACTTTAGGTCGGTTTGTCAATAGAATGACGATTCAAATACTTGTCCACAAATTATTAGTTCGTTTTTTTTAGTATAATAAACGTCTGGTGAAAATTTGAACCTTCGATTTTAAAGGAAGAAGCACGTGTCATAATCGTGATTCATCGAAAAAATAAAAATAGCATGAATGAGTATAAAAATACTTAGTAAGCAGCCTACTTGTAAGTTCGGATGGATCATCTTCTATGACTAAATATCACGTAACTAGGTCACTAATTGTCGGGGACTTACTTTGAGTTATATAGCTCAAGACAAATTTTTGTAGGGTACTGAATCCTTGCCGGATTTTCGGGGATTAACTCTTTGTCTCTCATATTTGACTCTATCTGGATCCTTCCCAACTTTCTAATTCTTACCCTATAGGCTTTCATGGTGAGATCCCGCATCAGTTGGAGAGAGAAACGAAACATTTCTTATAAACGTGTGGAAACCTCTCCCTAACAGACACGTTTTATAACCGTGAGGTTGATAGTGATACTTAACGAGCTAAAGCGGACAATCTCTACTAGTGGTGTGGTATCAGAGCCAGATACCGAGGGGTGTGAGATCTCATATCGATTGAAAAGAGGAACAAAACTGTAAGAATATGAAAGTCTAGCTTTAGCTGGCGCTCATAGTCTCGTGTTTAAGTTGTAATATAGAGTATTTAATTTTTCAACTCGTGTCATATTAAACAAAATATCTTACTAAGTTGAATAATAATGTAATGAATGGGTATATTTCATTTAATTTGTGACATTATTAAATATAATATATGTGTAATTGAGTGTAAAATGACCCATATTATTATTATTATTATAAATATATAATAATAAACATGTTTTACTTGTATGGTGTTATTTTTGTTATTTATGTTCCAAAGTCTATCAAATAATAGACCATATATATATATTTTAATATCTTGAAAATATAGGTGTCGATATCATTAAATATATTTGTTTATTTAAACGGTATAAATAAGTTACTTTATATTAATTAAATATTTTGTAGAATGAGAGAATAAAAAAATTTAAATTGTATTTATTAAAATAATTTAAAATTTGTGAGTAAATATAAGTTAAAAGATAATTGAAATATACTTTTCTCTATAGAGCTTAAAAAAAAAATAAAAATAAAAATAAAAATAAAAAATATATATATATCGTTACTCTATCTAACTCGATTCTTAATTTTTCAAGAAGAATTAAGTTTTTTAGAATTTTTTCTTTCAAATAAGTATCTGAATGAGAAACAAAGGAAGGAGGTCGAGAATGATTTGCACAATCAATCAATTTCGTCAAATCTAGACAGTTTGTCGTGAAGCTTGCTGTAATCACACTCGGGTGAAGTTTCAGTTTGCTTCAGATATGTTTTTAAGGGTGTACACGGGTTGGGTTAGGTTGGGTTGGAGAAGTCTTTTGGATCAACCTGACATTACGAGTTGGTCAGGTTGGTGATCCGAGCAACTCGAATATACTTCACAATCTAACCCAATTTAGTCTTCTATTTTTGGGTTGGGTTGGGTTGGGTTAGGTTGTCAGGTTATTATTATTTTTTTAATTATTTAAAAAATTATACTTATCCAATTACATTAATAACTAAAATTTTGTAAAACTCAAATATCAAACATTCCGTTCACAATAAAGATTAGTCATAAATGTCACGTATTCTTAATTTTCGTAATAATATTAAAAGTAAGATAGGATAAGGTTAAGCTATAACTCTATTTTTGAGTTGATCGGATTGACTCAATAAAAAAATGTCAACCCGTGAGACCAAAACATAAAAATGCATAAATTTTCTTCAAAACTAACTCTCTTTACGACCGCTTAAGCTACTTTATTAATTTTGAAATGTTTATAAAATGTTAAGGGTATTATTGTAATTTTTTAAAAGAATGGTGACCGTGAAAAAAACATGATAAATATTTTTTATAATATATATATATATATATATATAAACAAAAATATATATTTTATGTTTAGAAAATACTATCTGTATTGGTACGAGGCCTTTTAGGGAAACTATGAATACTAGAGGAGAACCCGAGAGAAAAGAAGCTAATGCTCAAAGTGAACAATATTATTGTAGAGAGTCGTGTTCATTTAACATTTTAAAAATTTAAGGAATTTTTTGACCAGTTGTGAGTGAGGAGAGATTTGAACCCCGACACTGTGATTCGTAGCCACGTGCGCTAATCTCCTAAGCTGAAGTCGATAACCGACCGTAATAGAATAACGACCAAAATCAAACATAAACTAAAAACTTTAATTAAACAAAGATAAAAAAGTAGAAAGTGTAATCATAAAATTATTATCTATATGTTTTCTCCAACATTAATAGTCTCGAAAATCGATTAAATTCGGACCGAACTACAAGGCCATCCACGTGGCAACCTTTCATTGGCTACACAATTAAAATCCATACCCCATGCTTACAAAACGGGGCCCGCTCTCTGTTAACTTTACAACCACCGCTTGTCTGTCCAGACTTGGGAGAGTGATGCTCACGCGGTGAGGCTTATTTCAAATAGTCTCCTCGAAACGGCTTTCAGATGCCGCAAACGACGTCGTTCTGTATCTCCAACGTTCGGATTCTTCGGCGCGTTTCACACCGCTTGTTTACGCGCGTGGCTTTCAACCAACGTGTCGTTTCCTCCCTCCAAACGAATCCATGAGACGATCTGTCAGAGCCTTTTCTTTTAGTACGATTTACAAAATTCTGAATATATTTTGTCTAAATGTCTTTCGATTTATAAAATACAATTAAAAAAAAAAAACATTTTTATTTTACAATTATACCCTTTCTTTCTTATTATTTTTTTAAATACAAACCTTATTTAAAAAAAAAAAAATATATATATATATAATAAATTTGATCTCTCAATTTTAAAAAATAAATAGAATATTTTACTTTTCAAAATCATTATTTAATATGTAATTAATTTAAATATAATTATTTTTTTTAATTTATAGATTTTTATAAATAAAAAAGAGATGGATGAAGGAGGAGGATATTTAATTAAAAAAAAAAAAAGAGATTTCTGACCAAATATTTAATTATAGAACATTAATTATTTTCTATAGAATTATTAAATTAAATGTATATCACTTCGTAAGGTATCTTTGGAGGGCATTTTGGTCAATTCGGTTCTGCCATAGCTCAACGGGCTCGCTCAAAAAACTGGAAAATCGCTTCTCCACTGCGATTTTCTCCTCCTCCTTCCAATTGGATGGAGACGACGATGAAGCTGCTGCGGCCGGGGAAGTCTCCACGGGCTCCTGCATTCACCTGTTCGAAGTCGGTGAACTTATCGCCGGAATTGGATCTTCAGCAGACGCCAAGTTCACGCAAGGATTCTCGACGGAGGATCCGAAATCTTTCGTTGATTAAGAGAAAGTCGGTGCCGACCGGGCGGAGGAGTAGGCCGCAGACTCCACTTCTTAAGTGGAAGGTCGACGACAGAGTTGATGGTAGAGGTGAAGAAGACGAAGACGAAAAGAAGACGGAATCGGAGAACGGAGAGAAAGATCTCCGGCGGATGAGTGGGGAAAGAGATGTGGTCGTATCGGCGAGGAAGCTCGCTGCTGGTTTTTGGCGGTTTCAGAAGCCGGAGGTGAGCGCTGATGGAGGAAGGAGCGGTTTGAGACGCACTGTGGAGCAGAGGATCGGTTTTCAGGTAACTGTTTCTTGGAAATCTCGTTTTGAATTGTGATTCTGTTTGTACGATTAGCATTTGACGAAGATTGAGTGTGCATTTTTCTCCTTGCTCTGAATCAAAATTTTGAAGAACTGCTACGTTGTTTGGGATTGGATCTTTGATTTCTATTTCTGAAATTATTGTAATAACTGCGATTAGATGAGTTTTAGGAATGAAATGAGGTTTAGGAATCAATGTAATTTCGCCTCTAGTTCTGCAGTTCCGTTCATTGTTGTGATCATTTATGATTCATCTTGCAGCCTGTTGCTGGCCATGTTCGTGCTCCGATTCTCCGTCATCACAATAACAACATATTCAGTAATGAAACGAGGCATCTGTTACAGGGCCAAACCTCAACTTCTGGTATGAGAAATGGCGTTCTGAGCAAGGTAATGACATTATCTTCAGAGTCCTCTCTGTTTTTCTTTTGAAGTTATTGCAATAATGTTTGAACTGTTTTCATCTCCCATCCCTGCCATCAGATTGAACCGTTCTTTCAATTCTCCAACTCAGTTATGGAAGGGGCAACAAAATGGGACCCTATTGGCTCGAAAATTCCAGTTGAAAGGGACCATGTTTACAATCGAAGAGAGCTTCTTGACCAGCAAGTGAGCCTGGTTTCTGTTATATCTTCCCTTGAAGCTGAACTCAAGCAAGCACGGGTGCGCATTTCGGAACTCGAAACGGAACGCCATGCATCGAAGAAGAAGCTTGAGAGCTTCTTGAGAAAGGTTGATGAGGAAAAGACTGTATGGCGTATGAGGGAACATGAGAAAGTACGTGTGTTTATAGAAAGCATCAGGACTGAGTTGAACCATGAAAAGAAAAATCGAAGAAGAGTAGAGCATTTCAATTCGAAACTGGTCCATGAGCTAGCTGATGCTAAATCCTTGGTGAAGAAGCTGATGCAGGACTATGAAGAAGAAAGGAAGGAAAGGGTATTGATTGAACAAGTATGTGAAGAACTTGCTAAAGAAATTGGAGATGATAAGGCAGAAATAGAGGCATCGAAGAGAGAATCTGCGTTATTTAGAGAGGAAGTGGAAGAAGAGAGGAAGATGTTGCAGTTAGCAGAAGTATGGCGTGAAGAACGCGTTCAAATGAAGCTGGTCGATGCGAAGGTAGCGGTCGAAGAGAAGTACTCTCAGATGAACAAGCTTGTTGCTGATCTTGAAAACTTTCTAAGATCAAGGGGAGCAATCTCAGACGTTAAGGAGATGAAAGAAGCTGTATTACTTGAACAGGCTGCTTCTGCAATGAACATCCAAGACATACAGCACTTATCATACCAACCTTCTAAGCCAGATGATATATTCTCCATCTTTGAAGAAGTTAATTTTGGTGAAAATCATGAGAGGGAGGTTAAGCCATACAGTTCTTACAGTCCGGTGACCGAAATCTCTAAAGTCGGAACAGTGAGCCCCGACGTAAATGTAGATTCGGGTAAACGAGCGGATGGCACTCTGATGGCAGCCTTTAATCAGAATGGAAACATGGACGACGAGAGTGGATGGGAGACAGTGAGCCAAATTGAGGATCAGGGCTCGAGTTATTCGCCCGAAGGAAGCTCGACACGACCCGGTAATAAGAATAGTGAAAATAGTAGCAGCACGACAGGCTCAGAGACTGTAACAGACTGGGAAGAACACGGAGGAGGTGGAGAAACAACAATCAACATCAGTGAAGTCTATTCAGAACTTGTAAGGAAATCAAAGAAAGTATCAAACTTAACGAAGAAGCTTTGGAAATCCGGCCATAACAATGGTGGCGACAGCAACAAGATGATACCAGTAAAGGAGCCTCATGGTGGGTCTAGTCCAGATTTCATGGATCAGTGGAGTTCCTTCGACTTAGGTGATGCTCAAATAGCTCGACAGATGAAAGGCCAAATGAATGTGAAGGAAGGCCATAAACTACAGCTGCGGCATGTCCTTAAACAGAAGATATAGAGGCCGATAGCGATTGCTTCCTGGACGGTTTTATGCAGCCGCATCGAGCCAGCGACATGACGACGTTATATATTTACCGTAGTGTAAGATTCAAATGAATGAGGCTTCATAAAACAAAGATAATTTCCGCCTCTATTTTCTCCAAATGTATCGAACATTCCACTTATCAATCGATTGATAACCTTCCAAATATCCCTTCGGATTCCCTTGAAGAGCTGATCTTATATTCCGGGAAGTACCATAGTTTAGAAATTGTGTAAAAGAACATAATATGTTATGGATAAGCAAGGGACAAGAACAAAGAAAAGAAGCTCAGTCCCAAGAGATCACAATATGAACAACACTGGTCAGTAAATATGAAACATTCATGGTAATATGACAATTAGAATGCCACAGCAAATTCAACAAGCCGAAGGAGTCAAAGTCGATACAGCTGAAACCGAACAGCTCAATTATTTTGTCGAACATTCTTCCTGTCATCTATACTCTTGGAAGTTGACATGGCCAGTGGCTTTTGCGTGTTCTACAGCCTCCTGAACATTGGATTCTCTAAATGAATTACAAGAGTTTGAAGAATTAATGAAGCAAGCAATGAATTTCGACAAGGAATAATACCGTTTGGCCGATGACTCCGATTTGGCAAACCCCACATCGCAGCGTGAAGTTGGCAGTGTCGGTGAATCTCCGTTTCCTGAAATGTGCAAGCGTAGATTAAGATGCAGGAAGGCGAAACATTCAAAGAGTTCTTCAAGTTTCTTTGATCATTACACAAGATCAACCTTTGCTGTTCTTCAACAAAATGAAGAGCTTGCCCTTCAATGGGACCAATTGTCCTGTCCCGATTCACAGAAAATATGGTCTGATCAAATTCCTCTGGAGCTCCCTCAGATGGAGACATCTGACAAGAACACAGATGCAGGGAGCCAAGATTCATATATCAAACACAATCAAAGACAGAGATCTTGCTTTATAAGGTACTGTTCATATAAAAAAACATATTATCAAGTTCATCTTGCTTTATATTTGAGGGAATCAGAAAATCATACAACTAAAGCATCATAGTGGAGTCCATCATATATCAGCAGAACCCTTTCTGAATACTTCTTTTCCTGTCAACGGCGACCGATAATCAGCATCGGAATGGTGAAAGGATTACTCTTGGGGTCATAGGAATTGAAAATCCTAACCTGACCGTACAAATCACATCGTTTGGTCTGGATATCGTATGCTGCAATTTCACGCCCATAATACTCGGATAGTATCGAAAGCTCAATTGCACCTGTGGAGGAGAAAGTAAGCTTAAAAAGAATAAACGAACTGATATAGATTTGATATCAGTCCAGCTACACCTAAAGCTTTCGTATGTTTCGGTTTGGTTTACAGTTTACTATTAGAAGAACAAACAGTGTGGCAAAACTTTCAAATTGTCACGGTCATGCTTGTCTAAGGCGTGTTGTCTATGACTGCATGACCATTGCATGTCAAAACCCTTGTGTTGTATCACTTTATTGCTTTCCTATATCGCTTTCATGATGTATAGTTTCCTTATTGTATTTTCTAAGTGTAAGACGTTTCAGCAGAATTATGTCCATGCTTGGTAGACCTGAAATGTCTCAATTGGGGGATGGATGCGGCTAGACGTCAATTCTTCCTACTTGGAGTTATATGCTATCTAAGCTACTGTATTGCCTTTTTCGTTTATCGTTTATGACCTATAACATTGCTTTCTTCATTTCTCTCAAATCTTACTTACAAACTCTCTTTCTAAAATCTTACTCTGGCACTATTTTCTAAAATCTTCTTAAAACGAGGCCTAAGACTTGGGTATACGTCATAGGTCCAAAAGCGAGATGATTTGACTCACTCTGTAGTGAGAGTGAGTGCTGCACAATCGCTTACAAACATCCCGTAAAAGCGTGATTGTGACACAAAACAACATATTCAAGAAATCCATGAGTAAGTTCAACAAAACACCTAGCCTATCATCTAATGCTAGAAACACGAGACAGCGGGGAACGTTATATTTTGATGTAATACAAAATTCCATCGAGCAATGATAATATCGATACAAACCTCCCCACTTCTCTGAATCAAGAATCCAAGCACAATACTCCTCATTTGGCTTCCCAAGAAATGCTTCACAATACCTTGTTGGATCACTTGCTACTGTTGCAGCTATGACCTTTAAGAGAATCATATTGTGGCTTATGTTCAGAGTGAAGAATACAAATATGAACTTCAAGAAAGATATGATAGAAAGCAGTATAATGTAGGGTAGTTCTAATAACGACGAAACATTATAAATCAGAACGAACCTGTCTTAGCTCGGCGGCCTTGTGCTTATCGTGGTCCATAACATACCTAACGTACATTGCAACAGAAGTAGCACAAAAATGAACATGAGGCAAAGCCACAGACAAGAGAGAGACCCATACTTTTAGAAACAATTAAGAAGTATATATGTCAAGAACTTGATCTTTATCTTTAAACTTTTTCTCTTAATCTGCCTCGCGGAGGTTTATTTTCTGATACGAAACAATTTCGTTGATGAAATGAAATGGTACAAAAGAGATATATTATCCGAACATATTACAAAAAAACTTCTCCAATTTGATAGTGTAACAACTCAAGCCCACCGCTAGCAGATATTGTCCTTTTTGGGTTTTCCCTTTCGGGTTTTCTCTCAAAGTTTTAAAATACGTCTACTAGGGAGAAGTTTCCACTCTTAAAAAGAATAAATCGTTCCCATCTCCAACCGATGTGGGATCTCACAATCTCCCCTCCCCCTCCCCCCTTCGGGGCCCAGCGTCCTCGCAGGCACTCGTTCCCCTCTACAATCGATGTGGGACCCCCCAATCCACCCCCCTTTGAGGCTCAACGTTCTCACTGGCACACCGCCTGGTATCCACCCCACTTCGGGCTTCAGGCTTTAGTCTCTTTGCTAGCACATCGCCCGGTGTTTGTCTCTAATACCATTTATAACAGCCCAAGCCACCGCTAACAGATACTGTCCTCTTTAGGCTTTCCCTTCTGGGTTTCCCCTCAAAGTTTTAAAATGCGTCTTCTAGGGAGAGGTTTCCACACCCTTATAAACAATATTTTGTTCCCTTCTCCAACCGATGTGCGATCTCACAATCCACCCCCCTTTGTGGCACTCAATCCCCTCTCCAATCGATGTAGGACCCTCCAATCCACCCCCTTTGAGGCCAGCGTCCTCGCTGGCACACCATCTAGTGTCCACTCCCTTCAAGGTTCAGCTTCCTCATTGACACATCATTCGGTGTCTGACTCTGATACCATTTGAAACAATCCAAGCCCATCACTATTAGATATTGTCCTCTTTGGCTTTCCCTTCCAGACTTCCCCTCAAGGTTTTAAAACACGCCTACTAGGGAGAAATTTCCACACCCTTAGAAACAATGTTTCGTTCCCCTCTCCAACCAATGTAGGATCTCACAAATAGAACAACATTTAAGATGTAATTGTTCAAAGGACAAAAGCTTAGACCAGACAAAAGCCATAAAAATAAGCTGCATCAAGGGTTTCCTATGGAGAACTTCCCTCGTCCTTCAAAAACCCCAACGATCCAAAGTCGAAAGTTTCGGGATACAAATTGATTTTCACCCCCTTTTATCTCCTAATCACAACCAAAATACAGCCATTTCATAGACAATATAGAGACTCTTATCTCCTAATCTTTACAAAGGAATAGGTCGGCAGGCAAGTAATTCGAATCTTACCCAACAGCATTGAAGAGGCAACTATTGTCAGATGGAATAACCCTTCTAAGAATCGTACCTTCCATAGTATAATATTCTATCAATACCTGAAAATCCATTCAATCAATACCTACTTCAATCTCTAATAAAGATGAACAGATGAACATATAAACAAAAGATCAAGAACCATAAGGAAAACAAAGCTTGTAGGGTTCAAGGTACGCATAAACTCACACAAACTTGAAAACCCCTCTTCTTAAACCACAAAACTAAATCATCAAACCTAGATTCATCAGAAGTATAATCTACCAGAAATTGCAAGGAAAATTGTAAAAACAAGATAGAATTTCACCTAAACACAAACCGAAGAAGAAAATCCTAGATCCGATCTTGTATGCAGAAGGAGAAGAGGTTTACCGGCAACAAAATCGAAGAACCAAATCGAAAGAAAAGAATCGGATTGAATGAAGAAAACGTTTATTACTTACGGTTTGTATAACGCCAGGTTTTTTTTGGTGCTTCAAATTTAGCGATGAAGCCGTCCCCACCATTGCCAAAACGACGAGCTATCTAACTCAAATCAAATCGCCATGTTTTGAGCTTTTATCAGAAACCTCTATTCCTTTACTTATAAATTTGATGTTTTTCACTAAATTAATCAATATGGGACTTGCTCCCAATAATCCTTAGCACTGAATAGAGTTCACAACATAACTCGACCCTCTATCGTCGATTGGGTTGATGAAATTGAATCAAATTTTTAGGTAAAATACACGAATTTCGACTACGATTTGCTCGAAAGGCATGAATTTCAACCATAATTTACTTTTAACTTTACAAATTTTAATCGAATTTATCTAATCTAGTTAGAATTGAGTCCATTTTTTTTAAGTAGGTTTAAATTTTTAGTTTCAAAAACCCAAATCTCCTTCAAATGAGCCAAATAATAATAATAATAAAACTTTTGAAAACATTTTAAAAACAAGGGCAAAATCGTACGTTCACATCATCGAAAAGTCAAAAGAAATTCCTTAATATTAATTTTTTCAAAATCAATAAATAAAGCATTAATTATCATATTTAAAAAAAATATAAATATTATTTTAAATATTTCAATTTTCTCGCTCTTGTTAAACCAAACAAAAAAATAAATATTTCTTACGAATAATTTTTAAAAATTATATTTTTAGATATAAAAAAAAAACTAAAAAATATATAAATTTAAAATCTTAGCCTATAAAATTCGCTCGCTAAGCTATACAGCATACTTGTACGTATTGTATTAATAACTAAGAGATTATACGTTAAAATCTCGAAGAAAGTCGTTAGTAATAATTTCAATTAATTTATTTTATATATATATATTTTCAAATATTAATAATGTCGATGAATTAAAAAATAATAATAACTTGAGAATATTATAAGGTATGTTTAATTACAAAATTTTCTACAAAATGGGCAACATCCATTCAATCGTAGCCATTGATCTATGCAATCCACATGAAAAAAATGATCACAATTTGGAAGTTCCCTACCAAATTCTCCATCTTCAAATTCCTGAAAAAAAAAATAATTAATATATTATATATAAACAAGATTAAATGAAACAAGGTGGGGTCGGGTTAGATTTTTTCCAGTTTGGATTGGGTTGAATTTTTTAAAAATCGAAAATTTGGGTCGGTTCGTGGGTTTACATTTTTTTTGTCAGGTCAACTCGGCCAACTAGAAAATAGAGTTACAACAAACCCTACACTACCGTCGTTTTAAGATTATTATGAATATTAAACATAACGTGATACGTTATGTCTTGTGAATGTATGATTTTTTTTTTTTTTTACGGGTCAACCCGTCCAACCTAAAATTAGAGACTTAGTTGTAAACTCTATTCCAATTGTTGGAGCCGACCCAATTAATCTAAAATTTTAATTTATTTTTAATTAAGGTCAACAATATTAATTAGTCATAACAACACTAATAAATTTCTGGTCAAATTTTTAACTAATCTCTTAATCTTTAAAATGACGTGTCACCATCCCTATAATTATTAATTTAAAATTTTACAATATATTTTAAATAATTAATTATATTTAATAAATCCTTAAACAAATATAAAATTTAAATTTAGAAATAAAATTAAAATATTCATTAAATATTTAAAATTTTCTTTTTCATTTTTAAAAAATGTAATTATTTTTTAATGTTTTTGAAATTACAAGTAAATTTAAGAAACCAAAAAAAAAATCTTTTAATAATATAACCTTTTTGAAAAAAATAATAATTAATAATACCGAAAAAACAAAAATAATATAATTAATATATATATATATATATATATATATATATATATATATATATATATGTATGTATGTATTACCTCTAAGCAAATGGGACAAGAAATGGAGTTCTTCATCTTGCTATGATGATATTCACAAATAGGCAAGTTTTGAACACTCTCCATTGACATTCCTTCGACACTGCTTTCTCCGGCGACGTCGACGAACTCCGACATCTCTCGGTACATATACTCCGAGAAGTTGCTTGCCTGAAAATTTTATTTTGCTTTAGAAATATGAAGGGATCTTGAAATCCGCCATTAATGGCAGCATTCAAGCTTTTTCACTTACCCAGTTCATCAACCCCTTCCCATTCATTAGACTCTCCATTATTGCTTCCTGCCACCATAAAAAAATTTAAATTTCGTTAAATTATATTTTAGTCCCTCAACTTTCGATTATTTAATTCGTAAATTTTAAAAAGTATTTGGTTTACGAACGTTATAAATTAAATTTTCAATTGGGTCCTCATGTTTTCGGTTTTTTATTCGATAGTCCTTTGACCCGTTCATTGTTATACATTCAAAAATCGAAGTTCGACCTTTAATATTGAAAACCCTACCTTCGACAAGGAATATCTATATTCCGATTCGGGGCAGCTCAATAGCTGAAGGGCTGCGGCTGCACCGGCTATAGCACCTATGGCGACGCCATGGCCTTTGAAAGCTCCGACCACCGTTCCAACCGATGCACCGACTGAAAATTCAAGAGATAGAAAGAAAAAATTATTCAATAGAGTCGTCTCCTTCCCAACTACCATAACTCGTATGGTTATCGTGTATTTCTCTAACATGTATTGTTATAGCTACTTGAATAATTTCTCGAGACGAGACATACCTAGAGCGAGAAGGCATAGAAACAAAGCGAAAGCGGTCGTGTTGAAAGCTTTGACGAAGAACAGAAGAGCTTTATCGAAAACCGGGTGGTGCTTCAACTCGATAACCAACCTCAACATGGTAAGATGAGAAGAAGAAATGATGGAGAGATGAAAAGGGTTGAAGAATTTCATTAAAGCTTAGTACTGAAAAAGGAACACAAAGATGATTTGGATCTATATATATACATATACATATATATATATATTATATTGGGCATGTTGATTTTTAATGTCATGAAATTTTAAGATTTGTAGAAGATGAAAAGGTTTATATCATTGTCAACTAATAAATTCACAATTAGGGTTATTAAAAGAGATTAATTCCGAGTCGTTGGTTGGAGAAGGGTGTGGAAAGCTCTTACTTGTAGACGTGTTTTAAAATCGTGAGGCTGATGAAGATATGTAATGGGTCAAAGCGGACGATATTTGCTAGTGGTGGGTTTGTGCTGTTACAAATGGTATTAGAGTGAGGCAGCGAGTGGTGTGCTAACGAGGATGCTGGGCCTCTAAAGGGGTGGATTGTGAGATCCCACGTTGGTTGGAGAAAGGAACGAAACGTTTTTTTATAAGGGTGTGGAAACCTTTTCCTAGTAGACGTGTTTTAAAACTGAGGTTGATGACGATATGTAACGGAACAAAGTAGACAACATTTGCTAGTGGTGGGCTTGGATGGTTACAAATAAAATTAAAGCTAGATATCGAGCAGTGTACCAGCGAGGTTACTGGACCTCTAAAGGGTGGATTGTGAGATCTTACATTGGTTGGAGAGGAGAACGAAACATTCCTTATAAGGGTGTGGAAACCTCTCCTTAGTAGCCATGTTTTAAAACCATGAGGTTGACAATGATGCATAACGGGACAATTCGGTTAACAGTGGGAATGAGCTGTTACAAATGATATTAGAGCTGGACACCGAGTAGTGTGCCAGTGAGGACGTTGGGTCCTCAAGAGGGATGAATTGTGAGATCCCAGATTAGTTGAACAGAGAAACGAAACATTCCTCATACGAGTGCAAAAACTTCTCCCTAGTTGACGTGTTTTAAAACCGTGAGATTGATAACAATACGTAACGGGCCAAAACAGATAATATCTGTTAGCGGTAGGCTTGGGATGTTACAAATGATATCAAATCAGCCAAACACCGAGTTGTGTGCCAGCGAGGACGTTGGGCCCTCAAGAGGGGATGAATTATGAGATCCTACATTGGTTGAACCGAGAAACAAAACATTCCTCATAAGGGTGTAAAAACCTCACCCTAGTATATGCATTTTAAAACCATAAGACTGATAATGATACGTAATGGGTCAATAACTGTTAGCAGTGGGAATGAACTGTTACAAATGAAATCAGAGCCAAACACCGAGCAATGTGTCAGCAAAGACTCTGGTCCCCGAGGAGAGTGGATTGTGAGATCCCACATTGATTTCTTATAAAAGCGTGGAAATCTCTCCTTAATAGACGCATTTTAAAACCGTGAGACTGACAACAATACATAACGAGACAGTATCTGTTAGCGGGAGGCATGAGCTGTCACAAACGACGAACACCGAGCGGCATGCCAGCAAAGACGCAACGCTTCATACAGATATAGAAAGAGGACAAAAATGGATATCAATATGAAGAGAATGTGAGAGGATGGGTAGCCCAATTGGAGAAAGGAGTATTAAATTCAAGTTGTTTGATTGGTGAGTGAAGAAGAAGCAAAGGTACAAAGAGCATTAATGAAAGCCTCCAGAGAGTAGCTGATAAGCAATTCCACTCAATTCAATGGTTTTTTCATTACAAATTGTATGAACAACAAGTGGTGAACTATTAAACTGTGTGCAAATGAGTATAAACAAGAGTGGTTTTTGTTGTGAGCTGTGGGCTATGTGATATAAATATTGTATGCATTTTTTCACAACAAACCTTCAACTTGCTAATACTATACCCTACTTGAAGATCTTTTCGAGATCTCGATCTCGTTTTTGTTTTCTACTTTGTTTAAGGATTTTGAGTTACGGAGCTCTGCTCGATTTGGCGATTATAGTTGTTGTGATGTACTGAGGCTCGAGTAAAGAGTGGGAACAGTGATGAATCGAGACCATGTCTGAATAAGAATGATTACGAGGATATGAAACTGTGGTTGTAGTTATTGTGATGCTCTAGTAAAAAAGAAGTACGTGGATGAACTGAGATTATAACTGAATGAGAGTGATCACGATGATATGAAACTATGGTTATAGTTATTGTGATGTTGTGAGATTCCACGTCGGTTGGAGAGGAGAACAAAACATTT